ACTACAGACCTTAATCCCCCCACTACCCAACTCAGGGACTGTTTATATGCTCCCTAAAATCCACAAACAAGGGAACCCTGGCAGACCTATCATATCCAACCATGGGACCCTAACTGAGGAAATATCAGGTTTCGTCAAATCAATCCTAAAACCACTTGTCACCCAAAGAGCAATTTTTGTCTACAACACTACAGACTTGCTATGGTAATTTAAAAACATAGATCACCTTCCCAGCATCACCATCCTAGTCCCCGTGGATGTTACCAGCTTATATACCAACATCCCACACCAGGATGGCATCCAAACCTGCCTTACATACCTACGAGAGCAAGGTGACAACTCCGAGTACAGACCCAAAGATATTACTGACCTTATACACTTCATCCTCACACACAACAATTTCACTTTTAATAATCAACACTTTCTCCAGACTACGGGCACAGTTATGGGCACCAAAATGGCCCCACAGTATGCCAACCTTTTATGACCCACCTGGAAAAAGAATTCCTCAAGGACTGCACCATCAAACCCTTGCTATACTTATATCAATGACATCTTCCTCATTTGGACTGAAACCTACAATCTCTGACCGAGTTTCATCAGAAATTCATCATCATCCCTCCAGCCGACTATCTCTTGAATGCTCCAGCACCAGCATCTCGTTTTTAGACACTATGATCAGTATCCAGAATGGTAAAATACAGACCACGTTATATAAGAAATCAACAGATCAACATACCTATCTGCACAGAACCAGCAGTTACCCTAAACACACCAAGAAAGCTGATATACAGTCAAGCCCTCAAATACCACTGAATCTGCACTGAGGAGAACACCCAGGTTTGTCACCTCACTAATCTTAAAAAGGCTTTCACTCAACAAAGACACTCCTCCAGAGAGATAGATCACATATTTCAAAGAGCCACCCGGATACCACGTGAAGAACTGCTGCAGTACATAAGAAACCCATCCCCGAATCGCACACCACTGGTTATGACATATCTCCCCTCCCTCAAACCCATACGGAAAATCCTCAAACAATTGCAACCCATACTAGAAGGAGCCCCTATTCTTAAAGAGATCTTCCCAGAGCCACCCATCCTAGCCTTCAAACAAGCACCAAGCCTTGCTAACCTCATCACCAGAAGCAAACTTCCTCAGGCCCAGAACACACCAAAAGGATCCAGACCGTGCCAGGACAAGAAATGCAAAACCTGCCAACACATCTCCACCACCCCCACTATTACTACACCCCACAACAGAGCCATCAGCATTCCTGGATCTTACAGCTGCACCTCCAGATATGTAATATATCTCATCCAATGCACCAAATGCCCTGTTGGAAAATACGTAGGAGAGACCAAACAACTGCGCACCAGAATAAATGCACATCGGAAATCTATCAAAAACAAGAATACCCAATTACTTGTGGGGGCACATTTCTCACAAGAAAACCACTCTCTCTACTCTCTCAGTCCTAATCCTCAGAAGGAATTTACAAAACACTTCTTACAGAAGAGCCTATGAACTTCACTTCATCAACCTCCTGGATACAAAAAATCATGGACTAAATATAGACTTTGGATTTATGATACATTATAACCTGCCTGACATCTGACTCCCCAGGTACCTCTCCATTATTTACCTCCTACATTCATCTCTCTTCTCCCCCCCAACCCAGCCTGTCTCTCACCCACTGACTCCTCAATTTACATCTTCATTGACTGCCTATCTTGCATGCATACCAGCCCAGTCTCTGGCTTCTTTACTATTCATTCCATCCAGAAAGAACACACACTAACTGCAGAGGCTTCCTCAGCCTGCCAAAGGGGTTTTAAAACCGAAAACTTGCTAAGAATTTTTTTTCCAACTATTTAAATAGATCTAATAAAAGATATCAGATTCACCCAAAGAACCTTGTCTACCTATGCCCTTTTATATAACATGTAATTTCTGAATGGAGGAAGGCTGGAGAATTTGGGACCTCTGAACAAATTTGACTATCATTTTTCAATAGAAGTGCAAGGCAATATGCGCCTATAATAATGGGGTCTTTCAGTCACAAAGGCTGACACAGCACTCCTGCTCCCTGAATCCTAGCCTTAAAACCTTGGACTTAAATAAAGCAATGCTAAAGTACTGACCTGAACCAGAGCCTACATTTCTCACTTATCCAGAAACCTGTCTTGGCTTGAATGTTCATCAATCAACTCTCATCCAGATCCAAATTAATCAAGGCACTTTGAAGGCAAGGATGGCACACTATGTATTCTTTACATGCTGATGCCACTGCAGTCTAACTATGTCATTATCACCCACAGAAAATTTATTGCACAAGAGGGGTAACAAGACAGATTGCTGCAGCAACTCCCAGATATCTGTAGTGTTTACCTACAACCAGCCCCAAAATGGAATCTATTTCACCTGAAGCCACATAGTAGTTGTGCTCAAAGCTTGGTAGCTCCAAATATTGTGGGGCCTTAAATTTCAAGAACAGTTCTTCCATTTGTCAATTCATTTTTGAAAGAAATAATTTAGCATTATGACAGTGTCATCAATAAATGTTACACTGATGTTAATATATTATGAATGCCCTAAATTAAGGAAATAGGTGTAAAACTCCTCATCCCATGGTTGCCTCATTTCTTAGTAAAGTAGAACAACCAAGCATGACAGGCATCAATTCAAGTCTTCCATCAGCCAAGTTTGCAAAGTTTGAGTCAATAAGTGTAGGATATAGGATCTGAATACTTTATATTCAAGCACAGAAAGAGAAGGAAGCTTAAACATATTATGAATGGATACATAAAATAATAAAAAGTGAGCATATTAAACATATTGGAGAATGAAACACAGGAAAAAACAAGCCATTCATGTCTCTGTCCAGTTTTATATGCCAATAACACCAGAAAATTATATTGCAAGTGTGGCAAGGATGCAAAGACTCTTAGAAGTTAGGTTCGCCGGACAAAACAAGTATAAGAGCTGTGACTCAAGAGTTCTGAAAAAAAGCCAACAATAACTAAAATGCCAGAGCAAGCTAATTTGTGGAAGTAGCCATGAAATCAAGATTGATCTAAAGTATAACAACAAAGTAGGACAATCTCTTTCCAGTTTTCCTTTGTTCAGTATGTTTATTTGCAGAAATATTTCTTGTATTACCACACTTTTTCCTGACAGGCCTATGATTTTAATTTGCTTCAAACTGCATTTTTTACTGAGCCTCACTGTTTGATTTGAATATATAACTAAGGGGAACATATTAATCCAAGCTTACAGTGCATCTCATTTGTTCTTTAGACATGAATCATGGTACTGAATCGTTCATTGCATTTCTGACTAATTTTATTCTGTGCTGCTGGAAGCTTTGAAAATAAAAATTAAAGCAGAAACCCCCCCTACAGACATTTTGCATACATAACTCTGAATACAACTAATGGCCTAAGTAAGGCCACAAATGCAAAGAAATGTCAATGCATATCAAGCCTGATCCAGTCCTGGAATAACTGTTTAAAGAACAACACCCTTTAACTTTTATGTAGATCATGGCAAACTTGGTACAATGGATCTAACTATGACCAAACTTTAGCCTTCAGACAATGCTTGTTGGTTGCTGTAACAGTGGGGGTGAAGGGGAAGGACCCTTTGATTTCACATGCAAAATGACAATGTCAAAGCATTTTTTAAAATTAAAGTTTTCCCCCACTGTTGTATGAACAGAAGCTTGTTTCCACAGTAAGATTAGGGCCCCCCCTATATGTTACAAGTATGGTGAAATTAACTGGTTAACTGCACAATTACCTTGAGAGGAGCTACACATGAAAAGTATTTAACACGCCATAAAAAGCTCCAACCAACTATAAAGTTACACTTTGAAAATGTGTACTAACTTTAAAGCTGGTTGCTACTGAGCTTTAATTTGCATGTGTAGCAGGGTCTCCCCTGAGGCAGGGAGGCCCATCAGTTGATAGCTCCCAGCCACAGGAGTGCACCATGTCTAGCCTAGGCTGGGAGTGCCCCAACTAAGGGGACTCTCAGCCCCAGCAGCTGTGGATACAGGGTTCTAGCAATGTGCCTCCTGGCACCATACCTCCCAGTGCCAGACCCTCTGGGCTCAGAGATCACAGCTGCTGCAATCTTCCAGTCCCAAGTGTGCATGGGGCACCCTGTGCAGCTGGGAGCCCCGCAGCTGAAAACTCCCAGCTCCAGGAGCTTGCTTGTTGTCAGTGCAGGGAGAGACCAGTATCAGGCTCTCTCTACACCGGTGATAAGGCACGATGACATCTAATGCATGGCAGGAGGCATGATTGTGTGGATCTCATAGATCCCATTGTGCCTTTACCTGCATATGTAGGAGGGCCTATGTTTTCCTCCATGATGTGTACATTATTGGTGTGTTATTGCAGGACTGCCCAACTGTGCTGTTCTGCTGGCATAGAGAGATGTAAAAGGATAAGCCACCTTAAAATTATTCCTTTAATCCATAAAGTGTGTGCATCCCTGTAGCCAGCAGAAGCCCCTCTTCAGGAGTCCCCTGAACTATGAGGATCTGTGCAGGAGGTCCTCTTCTGTGAGCAGGATTCAAGGCTTTACTTGGTACATATTGGCCATTATTCAGGAAAGCATCCCTAGTTAGGAAAATACTTCATGCATCTCAGGCTAATTAACTTCTATTTTTAAGGTACTTACAATAGTACTTGAGAGTACACTTACGTTCTTTTTGAATCAATACATATATGTATTATTCTTGCATGTATTCCATACAGTTGCCCAATAAAGGGTATCACAAAAAATCGTTCTCTTGGACATTTATTGGATCATCCTGGCTACAACATACCAACCCTACTACACATATGCTGTAAGATAAGAAATAGATCACTGATAAAAAAAGGAATAAAAGTACATATGTTGAAAATGATCTAGCTCGTAAGTATATAGTTCACATACCAATTTAATACCTCAGAAGAGTGGGATTTAAAAAAAAAAATCATTTTACTTACAACTTATGGTGATGCCAAGCTCCACGTTATGCTTCTTTGGTAGTTTTACATGAAAGGTCCCACTGCTTGGTATAACGGATTCTGTAATAAAAAAGTTGCCTGGTTGATAGGATACTCTACTTTCAAATATGTGGAGCTATAAACATATGCCAATGAAAACATATTAGTTACTCTCACATCACACCTACCCATTAATGCAAATGATGCAGGTGCAGTGTACTTTATATCTGTGATGATAATGTCACTGCATAAGTTAAGGGTCTGTAGCTCCATTTTTTTGGAGGTTTAAAACTAGATTTATGCAGAATGCATGGATATTCAGGCAACTTAGTTCACTTGTTATCAGCTCAGATATAAGTGGGTTTTTTCCTGTGTGTGCATCTAATACTAGCAAGTTGTTTTAATAAAAAGTATAGTAAAACAAAGTTCTTATCTTCAGGCAATGGGTGGTATAGGATGTATACATTTTAAAATGTCCACTTCAGTGGTTTTCACATCTAATAAAAAGTTAAGGGGCAAAGGCACAGGACACTAAGCAAAGGAATGGCACTAACTGAGTAAATGAATGTTTGAACTACATCTGAATCCTGACTTCTGGTATCTCTTGTACCCTGGATTTTGGCATCTGACCAAAGACTATGTGCCCGCCTCCGTTCGACCAGGCGCTCTCGGGCTGCTCTAGCCCGAGTGGCCGCTCTCACTGACCACAAGCTCACGAGAGGGCCCCGGGAGGTGACGGGAGGCCCCCTAATCTCGCCTGCCACGATTTTGAGTGTAACTTCAGTGGTGGGGGTCTCCGTTAATGCCGCCTCCTGGTGGCGTCGCGCCTTCGGCGGGCACTCACAGGGCTCCGACCTCCCCTACACCCCGGCCAATCGCCACCTGCTGCTGCTGGTCTTCTAGTGGCCTTCCTCCGGCGGCCCCGCCGCGTTTTCGGTCCTGAATTGCCAGGTGGTCCTTACTCCAGGAATCCAAAGTACCCAGGCTGGAATCTGTCTAGGGGTCTCACCCCTCCTGGTTTCTCGGCTGCCCCTAGCCCGTATGGTCCCGAGGCCTCCGCAACACTACAACCACGAGCTAGCCCCAAAGGAAGCCCATACTAAAACTAAAACTCCAACTCCTATATCACGCCTAGCCCAGGCTCTAATCCAGGTGCCTAAGCCCCGACCGATGAGCTCCCCCAGGCTACCGGCCTGTCAGGAGGCTTAAGGCCACCGACTTTCCCGGGTGCCTACTCCCTGGGCTCGTGGCTCCCTCTCTCTGGGAGTCTTGTTTCTGGCGTTCTTTTCTTCGTCGAGTCCGCTGCTGGCTCCCCGCCGGCCCATCTGTCACTTCTCTCGCGGGAGCCGTGGTCAGTTACCTCACCGGTCCCGCCACCCGCACTCCTGCTACGACTGTAACCAGTTCCTCCTCCCGTCGGGTTGCCAACGTCCTCTTCCTTTTTATCCGCGGCACCTTTAAGAGTGCAGTCCTCACTGCTGTAGCCGCAACTCTCTCTCCCGGCTCCTTTAATGCGGCGGCTCTCCCTCCCGCGCGCGAGGCGGGCGTGCTCTCACCGCTGTTCTCCCGGCAGCTGCTGCAGTTAGCGCCGCTGCCTCAGCTGACCCCGTCGGGCTGGATGCATGTGCCTTGCTGGCACAGGTCCCGCTCTCGGGGTTCCCTGCAGGCTTCCCCCGCCTCCCTCCTGGCTCCGCTTCCAGGGCCGCCTTTTATCTCTGCCGGGCGGCGTCTCCTGCTGGCATCGCCCGGCCCCAGCTGGATATAAGCGCGGCTTACGAACCGTGCTGGCGGTCTCCCCGCGCGCGTGTCCCTACTCGCTCCGGCCTCTGTGTGGGGTAAGTAGGTGGTTACTTCCCCTCTGGTCCGGCCCCGGGGTACCCTTCTAACTCCGGCGTCCCTGGGACAGACTATACATTTCATTTTAAGTTGCAGTAGTGTAGAGATGTAAACACATGCCTGCAAGCAGGTGGAAGTCTGATCCTGCTGCAGAGAAGTCAATGGTAGTTTTGTGGCAGCAGTTTTGTCACAAACATTCTAGGGAAAAACTGGTCTAAAGTTTGAAACTTTGAAGCTTTTTTCCTCTTGTAACCTGAAGCAGACTTAAAATTCACTCTCCTATTTTTTAATATTGCATTTTAAATGAATAATAATGGATGGATAATATCCAATAATCTAGCTTTTTAGATTTCAATGGCTATTGGCTTATGAGGTTGTCACTTAGAATTAGTACACTGGCAACACTTTGCTAGGATTTTGCACATGGCCATTCATTTAAGTTCCATTGTAAGTATGTGTACACCATGCAAAATCATAGCAGAGTTAACACTATATTAGCTTCTGAGGAGCTAATATAAGATCAGTGGAGTGTCTTAATGGTACAGCATATTTAGCATTGTGTATCTATAGAAGCTGATTAGTTTCTTCAAATGTGCTGTCTTCTGTTAGGACTCCCATTTATTGCCATTACCTATGCATATAACACAGGCAAACCATGGCTTTCTATGTCTATTGTACATGATGCAATGCCTTATCAAAAAGTAGAAAGAGGTAGTTAGCCATGTTAGTCTGAAGTCAGGCAGAAGCCAGAGTAATAGTGCACCTTACAGACTACATGAATCAGAGATGCATCAGCTTTCGTGAGCAACAGCTCACTTCATCAGATACATCTCTGATTCAGCTAGTCTGCAAGATACACTTCTACCTTGCCTTCTTATTAAAAGATCAAGGAAGGCAAAATGCACCGGTCACTTTAACTACAAATTAACTATGATTTTAATTGGTATTCTTCTCGTCTAAAGAAGCTTCAACCTGATGCGTCACACAAAGGAACCATTCAGAGTTCTCCATTCATCCGGTAATAGCAGCACACATTTCTATACAGCAAAGTATGTCATTAGCAGAGTATTCTGGGTAGAAGCATTTGTCCTGGCTCAGCAGAACATCCCTATCTCTGGAGATAAATATGTTTGGATACAACTCAGACAAAGGGACTGTCACCAGCTTTTTCTTCAGCACTTGTCATTACCATTTGTGTTCTGGAGCATGCTGGAGGGCAGAGTGCAATGAAAAAGCTGCACAAAAAGGCGCATGTTTCAGAGAAGTTACTTGGCAAACAAAGGTCACAAATATGTGAAAATAAAGTTCCATATTAAAAGAATCCAAATGCACCTGGGATTCATTTCTAATACTGTCTTGCAAGATAAAACAATTGTACATTCATACCTGCAACATCAAACTCAATTTCCAAAGTGGCCTTGTTAGTGATGGAAGAGTCTCTCAGAAGCTGATTAGCTTCTTCAAATGTGCTGTCTTCTGTTGGGACTCCATTTATAGCCATTACTCTGTCTCCTATTTGTAGAACCCCACACCTTGGTACACAATAGTACAAGTTAGCCATCAGAAGTTCAGGTAACCAGGAGTAAAATAAAATAAATCCAATCTAACATGGATGTATAATATATCATAATCCAATAGCCTATATACATTATAGGTTAGAAGCCTGCAGTTGGACTGACTATTGAGCTAATGTGGAGCTGTATGAAACTGCATTATTATGAACAACAAATGTAAGCATGCAAGTACATTTTAAATATTCTAAAGATATAATTAATAATTCAAGACCAGTACTTCCTAAGATTTTATCTGAACTAAACTGCAGCAAAGACAGATGGGGTTCTCCCTATGGCACAAGAAATTTTTGCATGTCAGAGAATTTTTTATGGAGTGCCCTCTGCCCCCCTCTTTTAATTAACGTAGCCTCCAGTTTCACTTTGGAAGAATCTGCAAAGTAAAGGCACTGGTGCTTGTTATTCTTCTTATACCTGTTCAAGAATATAAAATGTTATTGTCAGAACAGAGAATTCATTATGTATCATATTTCCACTGAGCAATGCTGAGTAATTTATCAGAAATCTCAAAGCAACCAACCCAAAGTAATCCCAGGAACACTTAGGAAAATATAGTTAGGAGCAATCATCTCAAAAAGCCTCACCTTTCTGCAGGGCTGTCAGACTCAATATATGAAATCAGAGGTGGAGAAGACAACGTCTCAGTGGCAAACACGCTACCCTGGAGCTGTATCCCAAACCCTACAATGGGGTCAGCTGTCAGCACTACTTCTGTGGTTTCTGTGTGGACAACCTGCCCAGCCAGACCAACAGTGCTAGAGGCTAAAGACACTATAAAATAGAGCAGACCAGAGGGAAAGACATTCAGACATAGGCAGTAAAAATGTAATTGTTTTCTGACATAATTCACCTACTATGCAATAAGCTCACTGAATTCCAGAGACTACCAGCCTCTTTCAAACTCTATTGAGGGCAAAGTTTATAAATGATATTATGATAGATAACAGAATAGAAAACATCTGGTTTTACAATGTAATGTTATTCTCTTCAGCAAATAAAAGGAAGTTGTCTGAATAACTTTCTTAAATCCTGTTTGTAATAATTTATGATTGTGCAACAGGATAGACTTCTCAAAAGAACCTAAGGCCCCTGGCACATTATACTTAAGAAGTGATTAACCAGTTAATTGCATATAGAGTAGTTACCTGGCCATATGTTAATGCAGTTAACGGTGTGTCAAAACAAGGAAGAGAGGAAAACTTGGTTAACTGAGCTTATGTAATTCAAATAGTCAAACGTTAAGTTAATAAATAGTACAGAACTCACTACAGATAGTGAAGACATAACTCCTGTCTTAGCAGCATGCCTAGAGCATTTGCCTAGTATTAATATATAATGCATTAGAGTGGGATTTTCAAAAGAGCCTCTTAGGAGATTTAGGCTGAAAGTCTGTGGGAGTTGGACATCTACATCCTGTATGTTCCTGGCAGATGTGCAATTAAAGGCACAGTTACATATATTTTGTGTAATAACTTTGTGGCTAGTTCCTATCAAGACATTAATTGAACATGTGGCTAGGCTGGGGCTCTCAGCTGTGGGGGCACACCATGTACTGCCATGGCTGAGAGCTGTCAGCGATCTGCGCTCCCAGCTGCAGGAGCTTGCTACTTGTCAATGCAGGAGGAACCTAACACCAGATTTCCTCTGCATGGGCAATATAGTGTGATGGGATCTGGTGCTTGATCCCACAATCGCACCTCCTGCCATGCATGTGTGACATGGCAGGAAACATTATTGTAGGGATTGCACATCAGATCCTATAACTGCACATCTGCCAGAGACATACAGGATGTAGATGTCCAGCTCCCACTGACTTTCAGCCAAATTCTCATAAAAGGCTCTTTTGAAAATCCTACTCTAATGCATTATGTAATAGCACTAGGCAAATGCTCTAGGCATGCTGCTAAGAAAGAATTTATGTCTTCACTACCTGTCATGAGTACTATTTATTAACTTAACATTTGACTATTTGAAATACGTAAGATCAATTAACTAACTTTTCCTGTATTATAAACCAGTATATATAAACATATTTAAGGCTCTATATGGTTTTTCAAAAAGGCTGACTATCTCAAGCACAAATGCTCCTCCATGCTATTAAGATACCCGTGTTACTGATAGGTTTTTCTATGCTCTTTGTTTATACACAGCTCATCTGAACTTGCTGCACTGCAGCACAAGTCAAGAGAAAAATGAGTGAGATTCATCACAGATACTCAGAAAAGGAGCAGGCTGCACCTTGGGTACTTTGATCTCTACCTAATGAGTTCTTTTATCATTGTTTATATGCAGACATTAGAAGACACATCTTATACATAGGACAGAGACTAATTCTTTTGGCTTCTAGTCGAAACAGCAGAGCAATACTGTAGCAGCATTCCTAAACCTTTCAACACTTTTAGTTCTGAAGTGTTCTCCCTTTATAAATCTAGGCTACTACCCTGCCCTCCTCTAAATTCCTTCAAGGCCCATTTCTTCTGGCACTGCCTACAATAAATTAAGTAAGGTTTCATGGCTCATCTGAGGGCAGTTTAAGAGCTTTGTAAGGTTTTAGGAAGTAAAACAAAACTGCTGCTTGTTTTTGCATTTTAGAAATTGTTAGAGCAACAGTCCTCAAGTCTCAGTGGTTTCCCTTCTGAGTAGGGTGACCAGATGGGACACTGGGAAATCTGGAACACTACCCCTGCCTCTGCTCTTGTTCCTCTTCACCCCTGCAGGCTGCAGGGAATCAATGGCTCATGGTTTTTTACTTCATAGGTGTTAGTCATCACCTGTGAAGTAACGATTAGTATCAATGGTCATTTCACTAATGAAGCTAAATTATTTTAAGGCAATTTTGCTGTCTGCTAGGGCTTCCTATTTCACAGCTCCTGCTGCTCTGCCTCCACACCCCATGCTTACGATGTTTGTTTTCACTTTCACTGGCCAGCCGGGACTGACCTCCGAAATCTGGGGCCATCCTAGCCAAATGGGGAGATACAATCACTCTACTTCTTAGGGACTACGTACATAGTCCCTTCAGTTTAGGGTTTAAAATTCCAGACTTTTGCTTTGACTTTCAGGTTCATATGATTCTACAAACTTGGGTCTTGATTTGATACCCATGGCAGTCAACAGGAAGCTGTTCAGGGATTTAGCTCAGGCCCTCAACACTGTCTCTTCCTTTTTTTCTCTCATCTTCCGCACACTTGATGAGGCACCACCCTAACAATGACATGTAGCTCTTACAAAATCAACGTTAAAAAAATTAAATAAATAATAAAAAAGAACACCTATAATCTTATGGACCACCATGAGCCCTAATTACTGATTATTCTTATCATCTTCCCTTTCTTATGTTGCCACATCCCTTCCTTTTGTCATCTTCCTTTTTTGTGCATTGTCTAATCTTATTCTGCAAACCATTTGGGCAAACATAACAGGCTTGGAGGACAGCTTCTTCATTCTCAGAAGGCACATAATTTCCAGGATGAAAAGCTTACAATTCTTCAGGTAAAGCACAAGAACACAATAACTAAGCCACAGCCTAACTAGTTAAGTTTCCCAGTTTGCCATTAAATATCGATATACTTTTCTCAACATACTCTTCAGCTCTTAACTTGTCATAAAGTTTTGACAAAACCAATCTGAATGTGCTAAAATCACACTTGATTAATGTCAAGCTGGCTACACAGAAGTGCAGATGTTTTAGGAACTGACAAAATTCTGAATTCAGTTGTCTCCTATGATTTAACTTGGACAGCTTTCCATCATTTGGGTGCAATGAATTGTGACATGACCTAGTTCCAAACATAGGGCTGGTACAGAAATCAGGATCTTCAAGTTTAAATGTGAGAAGAGAAAGAAAGAACTCAGATTATATCCTGCCAGTCCCTTTTTAGCTTCTTTGTGGGCTGATTTTACTTGTGACCTTCGTATCAGGATATACTTCTGTGAAATAAGAAACTGACTGGGTCTACAGCTTCTTTCAATTTGCTCTTGATTTTATGCATATATGATTCCTGCTCTTTGTTGCTAACTGAACAAAGACAAATTTATACTAAGACTGTGGGCCCTGACAGAAATGACGGTTTGTCATGCAGTTGGGCCCCTGAAGGTGCTCTATAGCCATGCCCTGACAGAAGCGTATGGCTGCAGAGCACTTTAAAATGCCTGATTGTGAGACAATCTGAACCCTCATTACATGAAAATGCTAATAAGCTAACTGCAGTCATGATCTCCAGCTTTCACATTTACTACAATAAAGACGAGAAATGGCCATTTACTGCTTTTAACACTTTTAGATTAAAAATACAGATACATTTAGAAACGTTATCAAATGCCCCAACAACCTTCTAAAACAAGGGTGGGCAAAATATGGCCCACGGGCTGGACTCGGCCCACCAGGCAATTGCATCCATCCCACAGGACCCCTCCCTAAGCCCTGGCCCTGGGCTGCCCCTCTGCAAGCCAGAACATCCCTGCAAGAGGTGCGGCTCTGGCTGCTAAGCAACTACCCCCCACTCACCTCAGCCTGGCCTGATCTGCCCCCAGCCCCAAGCTAGGGGTACTAGAGACAAGAAGCCTCTGCCTTGTAGAGGCTTTTGCCTGGCCACCCTCAGGCTGTTTCCATCCCTCTGTCTGCAAGAATAGGAATTCAGGTAAGGGGCCCACTGGGGGAAAGGGGTGGGAGCACAGGGAGCCATGCACTGTGGGGCCAGGCTGGGCTGGCCCTTTACCCTGATACCATGTGCAGCTGGGGACTAGGGTGGGAGCATTATCGGGCCAGGCTGGACTGGCCCCGCACGATGTCACCACTTGCAGCCAGGGACTTGGGTATGAGCAGGGTAGCTACATGTTATGAGGCTGGGTGGAGCTGGCTGTACACCCTGCCACCATGTGCGGTCAGTGCCTGGGGTAGAAGCACAGGAGCTGTGTGTTATGGGGTCGGGTGAGGCTGGCCCCACACTCTGCTACCACATGTGGCCAGGGGCTGGGCTGGGAGTGCTATTGGGCTGGGTGGGGCTGGCCCCGCACACTGTTGCCATGTGCAGCCAGAGACTTGGGTGGGAGCTGTGTATTATGGGGCTGGGTGGGGCTGGTGCCACACGCTGCCACCACCTGTGGCCAGGGATTGGGGTGGGAGCACGGGGAGCTGTGTGTTATGGGGCTGGGCAGGGCTGGCACCACCTGCAGATCCAGGGACTGGCACATTTCATGGACTCCAAGGACCACCCCCCACATACACATCATCTCACATACCCCACCCTCCACCATACCCCGAAACATACCCATACTCTCTTTCACCCCTGACCATAACCCCACACCCCCCTCAACCACATACCCCACACCCCTCCACACCCACTCCCAATCCTCCTCCACACACCCCACCCACCATACTCACACCATACACACACATCCCCCACACCCCACCACACATACACCCCTTTACCCCCACACACACAATATATAAGAGTAAGAGTATATTTTGAGCTGTTATGCAATCACAAGTTGTAAACAAATAAATCACGACAAAAATATTTTTTTAAATAAAATTAAAATAAGTTATAGTAAATGTATGATTTTTTTAGTCTATGATTTGTTTTTTTTCCAGCTAAAAGATAGCAGCACCCTCCCTCCCAAAAGGAGTAATTCTGGGGCAAGTTGGGGCACTTCCGGTAGCAAAGGGCAGGGGTTAGGGGGTGGGACCTCCAGTCCCAAGATGGCGACCAGGGGGGCACACTACCCATCAAAGGGTGAAGCTACACCAAAACTCATTAAGTGGCCCTCCA